TGGGTGACATGGTTTAGTGTGAGGTGTACCTGCCCATGGCAGGGGGTTTGGAACTAGATGATCTTAAGGTCCTTTCCATCCCTAACTATTCTATGATTCTATGATGATAAAGACAACAGTTTCACAAGCAATAGTAACAAAAAACAACTGATCATTACTGTGCTTTTCAGTGCTACTCAATGCACCCAAGAGAATCCCTGGAAGTCATGGAATCTGACTTAGCTTTAAATTGCGTAGAAGTAGAAAGATAATACCATGGAAAAGATAATACCATGGAAAAGTAACGCGGAGTTGTAGAGTGCACGCTTCCAGTAAGAAGCTAAAAAGTAATACCGAAGAAGTTGCTCACTGACAGGCTGAGAGAGCTGGGGTGGTACAGCCTGGAGAAGGCTCCAAGGAGACCTCAGAGCAGCCTTCCAGTAACTAAAGCAGACTTACAAGCCGGAGAGGAACTTTTTATAAAAGCAAGTAGGGATAGGACAAGGGGGAATGGCTTTAAATGAGAAGAGTGGAGATTTAGATTAGATATTAGAATTAAGTTATTTCCTGTGAGGGTGCTGAGGCACTGGCACAGGTTTCCCAGAGAAGCTGTGGCTGCCCCACCTCTGGCAGTGTTCAAGGCCAGGTCAGATGGGGCTTTAAGCAACCTGTTCTAATGGAAGGTGGCCCTGCACTTGGCAAGCGGTTGAAACTGGATGCGCTTTAAGGTCCCTTCCAACACAAACCATTATATGCTATAAGGATACAGGGAGAAAGCACCTCTAATGATTAAATCCCATAGAAAACCATGTCACTGCCTCAAGAATCTTTCCAACACTCCACAAAAAAAAAAAAAAAAAGAATGAAAAAAAAAGGACCTGTAAAACCATAGTACCCAGTATTTCACAAATTTTCCTCCATCACACTTCCTTGTATTGAATTTCTCAGTGCTCTGTCATTCTCAGAACTTCACACACTAGTATCCCAACTCAAAAGTGTTTAGTAATATCCAGAGAAGCTGATGAAAGTGGATACAGGGTTAAACCCAAAGTAAGATATCTTTAAAATATGCCCGTATCCTCCAGCAATTTGATCCTCACCAGTTTTTCAAACAGTAAGTTTTAACATATATTTTTTTCTTTTAGCTTATTCTTGTTTGGATAAATGTGAAATGTCAGTATTTGCAACATACTGGACAAGTTCACTGTGCATCATCTCAAAGTACCTTTACTTCATCTGCTCTAAGCTGGCTACCTGCAAATTCCTTAATATGGTCTAGTTCTTGTGTTGACAGAGACAGCAGAGAGCAACTCCCTATTCCCTTCTCCGTAATACTTATGATTTTACACAACTCTCTCATATTAACTTTTTTCAGCCTATTTTTCCCCCATCCTAAAACCTTTAGTTTCCAGGACAGTCTGTACCAAGATCATCTCTGACACCTTTCTTCCCACCTTCTCAAGGCTGCTGTGTTCTCCTTGCAATGCTGGTACATGGACTGCATATGCTATTTGATATTATACAAAAATCAGTAATATATCTGTGTAACCATTTTCTTTGTTCTTTGTTTCTTTCCCAGTAACTTCTAACACTTGATTAGCTTTTGTCTGAGCAATGATGTAGCATACTTATGCAGCTATTTACTCCCCAGGTCTTAGCCTTGAGGGGTAAAAGTCAACTCTGAGCCTACTGCTACATACAGAAAATTAGGGCTGCCTTCCTCCAGAAAATTAGGCTTCTGCATTTGGTTTTATTCAGTATCATACAAAAGTTGCAGATATGGTTTTAAGATTTCCATCTGGGAGTAATTTGTATTCACGGCATTTTTAAAATATGCCAAACAATACAATGATGGTCTGTTTCTTGTTCAAACAAAATCACAAAATTCAACACAGCTCCCATATATATAAGCTGTAATCAAGCAAATCCTGTTCATAAAAAAACAAGCAAACACACCAAACCACACCAGACTTAGTTTCATCCTAACACCTCCGAACCAGTTTTTTTAATATTCTTTAACAAGGCTGATGAGCAGCATCTAAACCTGCAAGAACGTATTAACACTGAGAGTTAGGGCCTATGAAGCCCTATTACCATCAAAGAGCTCTTGAAACATAACCTAACAGGAAGAAGTGTAGCCCCCACACTCAAGATACCATGCTTTCTAGTAGCAATTCAACTCTGCCACCACCAACCTTCACCCTTTTCCTGGCACACCCTCTGCATGAATAAGTGCTCTCAACCCCAACTTCAACCTTTCTCTATGAGAGTAGCTCTGGCTCACTGTTGCAGTGTTTCTCCAACATACTGTCACCAAACCTCCTTTCTCAGGTTTACTGTCTCCCCAAATTGAGACCTACCTAAACATGATGAGAGGTTAAATGCAAATTGATTGCCTTTTCCATAGATTGCAGCATATTTTATACCACAATCCAGTTACTATTAAACTATCACAAAAGTGTTTAATGCTACATCTCTTATTGCAAATTAATGCACTTTAGAGATAGTAAGAAAAAAAAATCCACAAATATTTGGAAAGAGGAAGTTATACCAAAATTTTTAAATATCATCCTCAAAGAATATTTTTGTTTCACGTTAAGCTGTTCATGCAAATAGAAGCAAACAAGAAGAGAGAAAAATAGTTATTTAATAAACTACTCAAATAACTTCTGACACTGTAAAAAGCTTTTACGAAAAGCAACCATTTATCAGTGTTTTTTACTCAGGCTGTCACAAATGGGGTCCCCAAGGATGAATACTGGGCCCCAAGCTACTCAACATCTTCATAAATGATCTGGATGATGGGACTGAAAGCAGCCTCACCAAGTTTGCTAATGACACCAAACTGGGTGGCACGGTGCACACATCAAAAGGGCTAGACATCTTACAGGCACATTGATAGAGGCTGAAGAATGGGCTATCAAGAACTGTACAAAGTTTAACAAAGACAACTGCAAGGTCCTGCATCGTGGATGACACAACCAAAGAGCACAGTCCAGGTTCAGATCTGTGTGGCCTTGCTGAAAGTAGCTTGGGGCCCAGGAGGACTACAAGCTGCGTAGGGGTCAGCAGCATGCCACTGCAGCAATAAAGGCAAATCCAATCCTGAGCTGCATCTGCAGAGGCATCACTAGCAGAGATAAGAGATGTGAACTTCCCACTCTGGTCAGTACTTGTCAGGCCATGCCTGGAGTACTGTGTCCAGCACTGGTCCCCACTACTGAAAAAAGACTCGGGCAGGCTGGTTTGAGTCCAAAGGAGAGCCATGAAGATCATCAAGGGGCTGGAGAACCTGCCCTATGAGGAAAGGTTGAAAGAGGTAGGTCTTCTCTCCCTGGAGAAGAGGCATCTAAGAGGAGGACCTCATCACAGTATTCCAGTACTTAAAGGCACTTATAAGGAGGAAGGAGGCTCTCTCTTCACAAGGAGGAAGCCACATGAAGATCACAAGGATTGAAATCCCATCACTGGAGATTTTCAAGACGCAACTGAACAGAGCACTAGGTAATCTCATCTAGGGTCCCTTTTCCACAACATGTAGGACCCAGTGATCCTCAGAGGTCCTTCCAACCAGGGCTATTCTATGATTCTAAGAGAGTTACAATGCCCCAGACAGCTTGCTGTTCAAGTGGCACCAACTGAGAAGAAAAGGTTAAGTAGGATAATGGCATCCTACATACTTTTTGCTTCCAGTTAAAAGTATTCTCTGAACATCCAAGAGACTGAACTGACCAAAGGAGTACTCTTAAACGTATCATACGGCAGTTCACATAAAGCAAAAGACATCTTAACAACAACAACAACAAACTTCTGCAGGATAGTATTATTCACTAAGTTAGAGAAATTTCCCTTTATCTGCTTCTCAAAAAGTGGGGAAGCACAGTGCAGCAGGATCACCCCACACTTCTGAAGTCACTGAAGGGAAGTTCTATTGTCAGGAAATGGTTTTACAACTGTGCGATACTCTCTCTGTCTTCCTGTGTTGCCTTGACAAAAGCCACCATTACCACATAAGCCTTAGATTGTTCAGGTCATTTTGCCATTGCTTTTTTTCTGAAAATATCTTTGCCCAGTAAAATTTGGTTGCTGCTTACTTTGGCCTTCTTCACTCAAAACAAAATCAGCAAAACGTCATACTTTTTCCATAGCCTGTCCTTCTCTTATACTTTCTTTCCATATAGTTCCACTCCTTAAACTTCAAAACAAGTCACATCATCTAACCGATATGCCATTTCCTATATTATCATTCATTTTACCTATGAGTTACAGCGAGAATCATCAGATTACTGCACAAGTACCAAACATAGCATATAGGCAGATTTTAAATACAGTGCACCAGGGTTAGCACAAGTCTCCAAGTTAACACAACTCTACCAACAAAGTACCTCTCAGTGAGGGCCTCACAATTCTTATCTAATTCTACAGCAACATATAACCAAGCAAGTAACATTCTGCTCCACAAAATCCAGCTGTCCTAATTGTGTTCCAAGTTACAACTACTCCGTGACTGAAGAGCTGTAATGGAGGGATGCTGACTCTTTAGAAAAGACAGGCCCGGACGACAAGGAGGACAATTTACCTTTTATGCCTCGTTTAAGGAAAGGCTGAGAGCTAGGGCTGTTCAGCCTACAGCAGAGAAGGCTGGGCAGTGGGGATGGTGTCCTCAATATATATACAAATAACTTAAGAAAGGGTGTAAGGGTGATCGACCCTGGCTCTTTCCAAAGGTGTAAGCACAGAAACACACTGTAAGTAAAACACTACGCGGATCAGTACCACTACAAGTGGCAAAACACATCAGCTCGGGTTAACTCAAAACTAAGCTCCCGTTGCTCTGTGCCGCCCGCGGTATCACAGCCCAGATCCGGTGGGGCAGAAGGGGCTCTGCCCAGGGCGTCCCCTCTGCCAGCTGCCGGTGCGGGAGGAAGGCAGCGGCCAGGCCCGCCCTGCGCAAGCCGAGACCGCCCCACCCCCGGCCCGGGGGAGGTGGCGCCCGGGGAAGGGTCGTGCCGTGCCCCCACCTTTGCCCGCTGCTCCCTGTGCGCCGCCGGGCTCTGCTCGCTCTCACACCCGGACGCCATCGCTGCCCCACACCGGAAGCCAACCGTCGTGCAGCAACCCCGCCGTACAGCGAAGCCGCAAAACTGTCGTAAACGGCGTCCCGGACAACGGCGGGGCGGCAGCGACGGGGGGGCGGAGCCATTGGCCGTCCCGGAAGCAGCGCTGAGCGCTCAGCCCCCTCAGGCAGCGGCCGGCTGTGTCGCTGGCTGTCTCATGGCGTAGTTTCCCTGACTTCGTTCACAGCTTCAGTACCAAAGGTAGCTTGTGGAGGGTATCACGGCCTCGCAGGTGAAGGTCACAGCGGGTACCGTGTACCTTAGTACCCTGCGCAGCTGCAGAGATGTGCCCGGCGGGGAGGAAGGGAATTCAAAGTCACCTTCAAGCACTTGTAAGTTGCAGTTGGCCAACAGTGTTTTTGACAGAGCTGCTGTATCTTGGGTGAAGCATGTGTTTATCTTTATGGTTTCTTTGGGATGAGATCAGAGCATTATTAATGTGTCTGACACCAAATGTGTTCACAGTTGGCAAGAAACTATTCAGGTGAAGGTCTAGCAAGTGCTTGGGTAATTTGTTAGCTGTTTGCATGGACAGTATGCAAACAAAGTGTGTTTGCAAAGGGATAATGGTAATTTGATCACCATCTCCATGGCAGTATTAAATATGTAAATTGCATTTACATTTTTGATCAATTTATGCTATGACAGTTAACATCATCTCAAGAAAAACCTGCTGTAGATCACCACTAGGTAGAGCATGATAACTGATGGAGCTTCGTAGGCACCATTTGGAGAAGCAGCATGTGAAGCCCCTCTGGGGAGCCATTTACAAAGCAAACAGATGGATATAAAAGACATTCCATCAGGACTGACTAATGCTATTCTGTCCTTAGCTATATGCAGCATTTGGTGTTATTCTTAATATCTGTAACCTTCCACATCTTAATAAGGCAGTACTGTAAATTTCCATTTAAAAACACATTTCCAGTACTCCTGGTTTTAGGAGATAAACCATAATGCAGGTACGCTGTAGAATCTCAAATAAATGAAGAACAAAAAAACCCAGAATGCTATTTTATAAACATGATCATCTGCTGTTGGGGGTTTTGAGAGCTGACTTTAATTTTGAAGTCAGCAAGTAGGGAAAGGGTGACAGAATTTAATACTATTTCCTCTCCTCTTTTCTCAGATGAAGCAGGCAGATCTGAAAGTTCAGTCTTATTCCTTTGAAGATCTTACGATGTATGAGAATTCCTCACATGCTCAGAAATCTCCAGAGAGCCTAGAGAACAAGTCCTTGGTATACCACTTTTAATGGTCAGCTGGGCACCTCTGTTCAGTTGTCTCATTGTCAGTGCCAACATTAAGCACACTAATAAAACAGCCATGCTTCAGAGATACTGATCTCTTCTGAACTCCAGCAGGGAGGCACTGACCTAGCAGAGTCAGTTATGGTTTCCTATTTAATGGCATATTTTACACTTCCTCTGACAGAAGCTGGTGACTCTCCAACTGACCTGTGTTACAAACCTGCTGCTTAACCTTCACTGCTTGCCTTCAGCGCTCTGTAACTAAATACACTTGACCAGCCTCTATCAATGTCTTTATAAGATATCTCGCCCTTCTGCCATGTCCACCTTATCACCCAGTTTGGTGTCATCAGCAGACTTGGTGAGGCTGCTTTCAGTCCCATCATCCAGATCACTCATGAAGGTTTTGAGCAGCTTGAGGCCCAGTATTGATCATGAGGGACCCCACTTGTGGCAGCCTTAGTAAAAACCATTGTGTCTGAAGTTAGTGCCATAAAATGGTAGAACACCTTACTCAAAAAATCAATGCAATGACAATATCTGGGCTATTGGTCATGCCTGAATTGTGCAATGAATACCTGAGCTGAAAAAAACATACAACTTTCTGCTGTCTGTCATAAAGAGTGCCCTGTCAGCAATAAAAAGCCCCCATGACATTGACGATCCTGACAGCCTGCCTTGGAAGAGAGAGTTCAGCTTGCAATGAAAACAAATATAAGAGTGCTGGATCGAAGAATGGTTCACCCATTATTCCATGTTCAATAGTAAGTCATGTGTTGTCTGCCCCTAAGAGAGGGTTATTTTGTTAACTTGCTCAGCTACTCTAAAAGTGAGTGCTCTCTTCAGCTGTAGTTCAGCAGACCAGGGGTATGGGGGTTTAAAACATCCATTTTCCTTCTCCCCACCTCAGCTTCACAACTGTACTAAAGAGACTCTTTCATTGGGGAAATTCTTCAGTGACAAATACTACTAATAAATGTTTTGTGAGGAGGCTGTTCCACATGTGAAATGACAACTCATTCAGTTCATTTCTTGTGGGGTTTTTACATGCTTTGTGTTCCCTTTGAGAAGTCAAAACCAAAGACTCATCAGATAGGAAGCTGACAGCAGGGATAACACCCATCCTGACCTTGATTTGCTGGATAGATATAAGGAAGAAGTTCTTTACTGTGAGGGTGGTGAGGCACTGAAATGGGTTGCCCAAGGAAGTTGTTACTGCTCCATTGCTAGCAGTGTTCAAGGCCAGGCTGGGTGGAGTCTTGGGTGACATGGTCTAGTGCGAGGTGTCCCTGTCCATGGCAGGGGGATTGGAACCTGATGATCTTAAGGTCCTTTCCAACTCTAACTATTCTATGTTTCTGGGAACACACCATTTCAGAAATCATTTCTTTGAGGGAAATGAGTGCCTCCTCAACCTGGGAGGTCCAGAGGTGCGTGTGTCAGGGAGTTTCAAATCTGCTGTTTTCAAAATGAGACATAAATACTGACTCAGATCACCTGACTGGAACAGAAATTAAAACTCTGGGGCTTTAGTTTGTCAGTCCTTATGCATCAGATGAATGCAGCAATAACTCAGTCTTGAGCAGAGCTTCGATGCAGTGCAATATGCTGCTTTTGGTTTTAAAGTGAGATTAAAGCATAGTTTCGCTTTTTAAAGGTAGGTCACTTCCAGAAGCCACATTGTAGCCTAGTCCCACAGGTGGTTGTATCAGTCCATTATTTACAAGAGCAGCAATACCTTAAGCTGAAATAACAGACACACAGTACAGAGAAACCACAGCCTTTGGCTGCTCCAGAGACCTTGGGGCTGTCTTTGCCCTTTTCTCCTGCTGTTGCTCAGTCCAATGCACACTTGCATAGGCAGCACTCAGCAAACTAAAGGAAGCTGCTGCAACAGTCCCAGTTGGACTCCACAGGTAAAGTGTAATAGGGGAGTCTCCTCCTTTAATTTCAATAGAGAATCTAAAACAACATGGGGATGGGAGCATGTCTTTCTCTAATGAATTTGTGAACACTCATGAGAAAAAATCATTGGGACCAGTGAGGTCTTGCTGCATGGAAAGGGCTCCAAGGCACTCCAGCACTGTAATGATAATTGTAAAGAGAATTTAACTGCCACAGAAAGTGTCCATAACTTTGGGCAGCAACTTGAACAATTCTCCCCAGTTTTCACCATACAATTCCTCAAATTACCTTTCATTTTTCTCCTGTTTTCTTTTTGTTTTTGTTTTTTCTGAATACTACTGTGTTAAAAGGGAAGGGTAATTTCATATCCAATCCTTGTCTCAGCCCTTGACCCAGAAATAGCTATAAATACTGAGTAATGTGGCTGACATCCCAAGCCACCTAGGTGCAGCTGAATCAAATCTTAGTCTCAGACTTGGTCAGTGATTTATGTCTAATAGAACAAATATAGGAATATGGAAGTCCTTTTGTTGAATCATGAGTTCAGACTAGATCCTCTTGCTTTCTAAACTCCTTAGAGAGGAGTCTAGGTTCAGCTGGATCTAGACTTAGCCTTGTACCTGGTCAGTGGTACTCACCTAAAGGGTTACAAGTATCATTTTAGCAGCAATTTGCAGTTTTAAGATGAATCACAAGATTTCTAGCAACACTTGGTTATTAAAGCTAATATACATGCACTTGCAATCAACTACCTAAACCAACACATGCATGCACACTAAGATAGATATACATGTGAATAATTATGCATATAAATATATATTCATATTTATGCATTTATATAAATGACCCTGTCACACAGGAATAATGCCTTATTAATAAGGCCTTTATGCCTTATAAAGCCAAGCACATATTAGACAGGGTAGATGGGGGAGAAGTGACTTCTGCCCTGTATTTCCTCCTACCTGTTCCTCCAGGAGACTACCTTGCTTGGCAGCCTGGCCACACATATTGACTCATCTGAGAGGATTATTTGGGAAGAGCAGAGATGTGGGAAGACCTCTTGCCATCCTGAGAACACTCCTAGGAGGGATCCTGGTGTAATAAGCGTAGCTGTGGCCTGCAAGCTGACTCCATGTCTTTCAGGTTTTGCAACACAAATGCAAGAGAACAGGAGCAGTGCCATAGACTGCAGAATTATGTTTATTTAACCTGCAAGATATCAACAGAAAGAGACTAATCACGGTAATTCCTCTAACTCAAAATATACAAATAAGATAAAACTTCATAATCAACACTGATTCATTAAAAGGGATTGCTGGAAACGTCTTTCATTGCAGATCAGCTTCTAATTTACATCCTTGCTACATACAGCCTGAGACCCAAGAAATGTGCACAATGAATAAACATGGGGTTTTTTAGTGCATTGTTCTCAGAAAGAAGAGTTAGATATTTTCTGTAAGACCAAGAAACAAAACTCAAGCCCATGTTCAAAAAATATGTCTCCTGTTCACTGACACAAGAACTATTCATGTGAGGCCAGGTTCGCTTTTAATGAATGGCGTGCTAAATCACTGCTTTCACTGAACATGTTTGCAATGCAGAATAAGGTGATATGGGCTAGGAATATCTTAGTATGCATTTAAGTCTCTTTCCATTTAATTTTAATTGAATACAGACAATATGATGCTCTAACTCCCTTAGAAACGTCATTTCTTTTCTGAGGCTTCATTTAATCTAGACCAGAAGGAGATCATGTTACTTTGTGAGTAAGCAGAACACGAAGTACTGTAACAGTTTTCCTCTGGCCCATGTGACACCAAGTCTAGACCAGGGGCAGGATTCTTGGTGACAGCTCTTGCCAGTGCCAGAGGTCTTAAACCAAACCACGTACCAAAACCAGATGCCTTTTATTGCTCTGTGTGCAGCTCTCTTTACAAATCCCAGTTCACAAAGGCCAGAGCAGAGAATGTTGATACTGGCAGAGAGTCTAATTCATTTCTTGTTAATTAAAAACTAGACTGGTAGGAGGACTCAAAAATATTTCCTGTGTTCTGAATATAGATACTAGTTTCCAGTGTCTTTGCAGTAATTTA